GAGTAGTGAGTAGTGATGGTAAAGCAAAGACAGTGGATTTGTCAACTGTCATTTATAGCTATTTGAAAAATAAAAAGGATATTTTTACTATTTAAAAAAAAAAAAGATTACACATACATAAATAAATGAAGTGGATAGAAGAAATTCCAAACACAGGTTTTGGAATTTTTTAGGTTTCAAGAATATTATTCTCACTCTTCAATTTTCTTGCTTTCACATGTCAAGTTTGGATTCTATCTATGAAATTTCAATTCATTTGGTCTACTTTAATAAATTTTCAGAAAAAATAAGTCAATTTATTTTAATTATGAGACAACACTTACATTATGTTTTTGGGATCGAGATAATTTATAGATATATTCTGATGAATGTCATAGGTAAGAAACCAATATATGCCTTCTTTCTTGGAGATCATGAATTCATTAGAGATTTAAAAAGCCTTTGATGGAGGCTTTATTTGAAGCATAACTTTTAGATAAAGTTTTATCTTTTTATAAAAAAAAAAATCTGTTTATTTTAATTATTTTTTTGAAAAGGGTTTTGGTTGGATATGGTAAGTCACTAATAATTATTTAAAAAGTTGCATTTGCATTTTGGTCGTGGTCTCATTGGTTGATAGTGGGTAGGGTTACACAGGCAAAGGTCAGGTTTTTGCAGAGGAAGAATGGCCAAATGTTGTTGTTTGTTGCCGCCATGTGATCACGTGCGCCTCACGTGTCTTACACCTCCTTTGAGTTAGATTCGTCCTGACTATTATTCTCCCAACTTATGCGAATCATATAATTTTATTTGAATTATTATGAGATTTATTTATATGAGAGAACAATGTGATAAAGAGTCAGAAAAAGAATGATTACTCTTTGATCAATTAACAATACATTATATTATGTTTCACCATGTGTGCAGTGTAATTTATGCAATTATTGACGCCCATTTGTCAAAATGTTTTATTAGAAAAAAAAACATATAATGATATGTAATCACCATATGGGTTGATGCAAGTTGACAAATGTCATTTAGAATCTGATAAAAAAAAAACAAAATACTTCAAAGTTATATATATGGAGAATGAAGTATTCAAGTTTGATGGAAAACGAAAGAGATTCAATATCATTAAACCTATTATTGAATTTAGCTTTAAACGACGTAGTTGAAATCAGTTGCTATAATATAAGAAACTAGAGACAGAAAATTTCGATTTGATCATAAAAGTCTTAATTAAGAGGCCTCTTGAGTCTTGAGTAAAAAAGTATGCCAGTTTGAAACTCCAAAACAATGGTGATCCCTAAACAAGAAACTTTGATATAATTATAGTTTCAATACAATGATAAAGCGTAGAAAACACATTTTCTTGTCTTTTTTTATTAGTTTCAAGTATTGATAAAACATCAATTTTAGTTCCATTATTATTCTGTGTGTGGATCCTTGCAATCATCTCTTACAACTAAACTAAAAAAAAGTTATAATTGTAAGAGTTTGGAGTCATCTCTTAAAAGTCTTTTACCTTGTATTGTATTGTATTGTGTATTGACCTTGATTGTGGGGCTCACACAAAAAAAAAAAAAAAGGTACTTGGGTTAAGAGTTTAGTTAATGTATACGTTCAATAGAAATTTGTAAAAGTGAAATGATTAAACAAAAAAGACTTCATGGCCCAATGGATAAGGCGCTGGTCTACGAAACCAGAGATTCTGGGTTCGATCCCCAGTGAAGTCGATTTTCATTTTTGTTTTTTTTTCCTCAAATAAATTATTTGAAAATTTTCCTGACCTCTCAAACAAAATTGAAATTTGGAATCTCGAAAAAATCAGAATTCTGCAGTGGAAGAAGTGTTAAGCTCTTTCTTCTCCGATCATGGCGTCGAGTTTCTTCTCCGCTTCTCTTCGCCCAATTTCGAACCAATCTTCTTCTTCTTCGTCGTCTCGATCCAAACAGAGACATAATCGCCTTCTCCAACTCGTTCGTTCTGACCGGAGCCAAAACGGCGTCACTGAAAACAACAACGATCCTTCTTCCTCCGGTACTACATCATCCGATTCCCTCTCTTCGATTCTCGTTTTTTCCATGTCGAATTTGATAATAGCGAAACAAATTTGTGACATCGAATTGGGGAAATTTTTCATCTATTGAGTTCTAATTATCGTTCGTTTTCTTCTTCTTCATCAGCACGCACTCAACTAGATCTCCTCGAACAGCTAACTCCCACAAGCGACGGTACATGATTTGTGTTTTTTCGAATTTTTGTATTAGATTTGTAGAATCCAATCCACTTAGGGTTTGTTTACATCAATCAATCATCAGGGTACATGAGTGATGGTGGTGGTTCGAGTGGATTCACAATCCGTGACCAATTAGCTATGCTTGTTGGTGGTGATAGAGACGATGATGAATTCACCATTCCTTTAGGGAAAAACCTTAAGAAAGTGAGTCCTAAATTCTTAACCATTTCTCAGAAAAGGAACATTAAGAGACAATCTTACCTTAATGAAGTCTCTCAGAGGAATGATTCTGTTTTCTTCGCTACGATCGGCGCTTTTGTAATCCTTCCACCTTTGTTCATCCTAGGCTTTGCAATCTTAACTGGCTATGTTCAACTCTTCCCATAAGTATATAAGCAGCTTGTAATCACAAATGAGAGATATCCAATAATGAACATATAGGTTGCATAACTTTTTCTTTTGAAATCT